TAACATATTTATACTGAAATTTTGATAAATTTTCATTGCAATTTTGGCATCTTTTTAGTGCAGTTTTAAGATATTTTTAACGCGATTATATCCGGTCCTCAGTTGTAATAAATCTATATTTAGCTCAATATGTAACGTTCGCATACTTGGATATCGTGTTGGTCCATCGTTACAAAGACCGCAAGTCATTTAAACAACAGTGTTCATTTCAACACGATTATGGCCTCCTCCTAAATACTTGTGTGGTAGTCGGAAAAGTTTGACATGCACATTTTTGTTCGCTCAAAGAATATTGAAGTCCCAAAGTGCTATTGACACCCCATACAGTTGCATATATGTACACACTCGTACGTATACTTACTATGAAATATGATGGTATTATATATATATATTACTCGAAAAGGGCGTATCCCTGGATTGCGGTCTGCACCCCCGTACAAATAAGCATAATGTATATAATACTGTCTACCTACACGATTTGCGTATCGAATTACCGCTGTTCGTGGCTTTTCAGAGTACTCCAACTAATTGAAATATCGATCGCGGTGAATCGATATCGTTCTGCCTACTCTCGTCGCGGGCATTTACCGAACTTCGATTGTGTTATCAACAGCAGCAGTATTCATCTACAGCCGAAACGAAAGCCGATTTACGACCGTGGTAGACGGTGGAGGAGTTCGTTGCTTTTCGTACGTCTACGAGTTTCGACCGATTTGTAAGTTTCTACCAGACAATTTGATCGCCAAGTCTCGTGCGCATAATATTACGTTACGGTTAATTATATTTACATTCGTGGTTCTATGTTAACGGCTTAGCCTAAACGTTTCCGAACAAAATTTGTTGTATTGATTTCCATCCCCCTTAAATGGGTTCTGACCGCTGTAAAATATATTCATATAGCCCGCGAATGTGGGGTGCGAAAATAATTTCGTTATGTTAACGTGTTAACATTTTCTAAAGTAACCATAGGTTGAATAAAAAAAAAAAAATGACCTATAGAGAATATACTTTTAACACTGTTTATCGAATAATGAAGGAACTCGAAGTAATATCGATTTCTATTGATTCCATTTAAGAATACTTAGCCATTCAGTTTTCTCCTGTAAGTTGTGCCAAAAATGTAATATTACTACTTAAGCGTTTAGGTTCAAAACCAATAAAAGATCAAATTAATAAAACTCTAATTTTATATGTCTTAAACGCACTGTGTTTCATTATATGTTTAGACATTGAGCATCAAATGAGGCGAACACTGATCTAAATTGTGTATGGAAAAATTAGACACCACAATTACCCGTCCAAGATTGTGGTTCAATTACTCTTATAATTCTATATCTTTGAATAGGATATCTAATACGAATCTTTTAAAAATATGAACGTTTTAAAATGTAATACTGAAAGATGCCGTGTGTTACGCCTAATCTGAAAAAAGATTTTAACGCATGTTTGAAATACTTCCGAAAATCTCCATTATGTTTATTTTTTGTATTTGAGCATAATTTAACATATGAAATCTCAATATTTTTATTTTTTTATTCCCTTAGAACCCCTCATAACACGCTTAATGCATTATAAGTCTTGTTAACTCGAATATTAAATTTGCGATAAATAGCTTAGTCGAAGTTTATCTGAGTATTTTCGTGGGCATATTATTTTTAATCTCAGTGTTTGATTTGGAAAAAACTAGATAGGGGACTCAGCGGATGTTGGATGAACAAGCGTTCCACACAAAATGTACTGTCACATCACCACACCCTCTCTTTAGCTATAATCCAAAAAAAATCATTAATACATAAAATATAATATCTTCTATTATCTATGACATAATCACCGATATATGTTTATATTTCTGGGGGAATTATACAATTCCTTATCACTATATTTTAAGGTAAGGAATTTTAAGAATACATTTTTTATTTTATAGTCGATACAAATGTACAAATATTATGGCTACAGGTTATAGTTATATTGTGCATCATAAATATTGATGATTTAAGAATTCGTCATAGTAAATTTTGCGTTCCCAGCTTTCAGTTTGAAATAAATAAAAGGTGTACGCTAAAAAAAAAAGAAGGAGAATTCCGACCTCCACATCCCCCCCCCCCCCAAATCAAGCACTGTTCAATCCACTCTCGAAGCAAAATGTTCATGTATATTTCACTCCGTATATATTGACCCGTGAAGAAATATTTTCGACGACTTTATACGCTTAATCTACGCAACGATATTGATCGAAAAAAATAATCGTTTTCGGGGATGACATGGCCTACTCGCGGTCTACGCGCCGTACGGTTACCGCGAAAACAATACGTTTACTGGGTTCGCGAGCGGTTCGTTCCAGCCAAGACTGGGTGGGTCGGGGAAAAAAATCGTCACGAACCGTGACCGCCCGTGAGTGGGCGGTCGCAGGGACGGGACCGGTGGCTTAATTAATATCGTAAGACGCTGGCAGCCGGTTAGGCTGGTGGCCGGTGCGCGCGCGCAAACGCGCACACACTTGGCGGCGCTCTCCGGACCGATATCAGTTTCTCACGTGCGAAAGAAAAAGGGGTGAAAAGGAACCGGATGGACCGAGCCGAGTGCCGAGGGGTGGCGGCGGCGGGCACGTTATATTATAATATATATTGTAATAATAGGTGCGCGCCGGGGATTTGTGAACAGCCGGTGCGCGAACCCGACGGCCGGAAGCCGTTTCCGGTTTCCACGCGTTTTGAAATTCAAATCACGAACATTTTCCTCCTTCGAGCGCTCGCACGACGTGTAACGTTCACGGAGCAGTGCCTTTCGGACGGCGGTGACCGTCCGGCGCACGTACGCGACCACGTGTAGGACTTTACGTGCTCCGGTCGACGGGCACCGCGTCCGTCGGTCTTTGCGCGCGCGCGGTTCACGATCCAGTCGGACGCGATTTCGACGTGGTCTTACTGCGGACCGCCGCCGGCGAACGTTGTGTGAACAATTATATCAATACGTCCGATTGCCCGAACGCGATCGCGACGAACACGCCCACGTGAAATAATCGATCCGAATGGCTGCGAATCGCTCGGACTCGGCCGGCAGACGCTGTCTAACGGCCCTGGGTCGAAGGCGTTAACCGGCTCACATATGAGAATATATGGAATTTTGAGAGTTATATATGGATTAGAGTACCAGTTGCCTTTTTTGGCCACTTCAAACCCTGCGTAAACGGTACATCTCAGGTGGTAATTGTTAGTATCAACGTGTTTGAACAAAACTAAATATTTCGCTGACGACCGAAAAGTGGAAAAAAATAATTTTCACATCCTATGCAGTGTTCCACTATGTAAAATGTCCAGCTCGTACGTTCTGCCGTTTTCTAGACGTAACGAAAAATGAGTAGGTGTTAGCGAATAAATGAGTGTTAATAGAATTACATTTATTATTATTATTATTATTATTATATTATCGTATAGATTTCACGCGTATGATATTGCATCGGACCAACGTTAAGCGTCATTCTTAAGTTTTGAAATCCGCATCAGTCTTAGATCATCTTAGATCGGATCGTTGAACTTTGACCGCTGTTCAAGTTCGGACTTTGTGAGATATCCGGTAACATATACGTGCAGTCAGACCAAAAACGTAGAGTTTCGAATTTCTATACAACCGTCCCGCAAGGTTTCTGATCTGTGAAAAAATTACCAGGCCGCGGCGATGCGATAATGTGTAACGTCAGCGATTTAATAGATTTTACCGGTTACAACGATTCGTAGTTTTCGTAATTTTTTTTTTTTTTCGTTTTGCTTCGGGGCCAACCGACGTATATTATTATACGACCGTCGACTGTAATACGACGCACCCACAGTCTTAATTCGTACGCGAACAATCAGAAAATCAATCGTCACCGGCACTGTTACATCCGGGCAATGTGCGCGCGGCGTAACCGAATTTATGATTTTATTCGTATGCCGAGCGACGAAGAGTAACAACGAAACACAACCAAAAAAAAAAAAAATGCTGTAGTACTACGTAGGCCGTTTAAACGTGTTTTTGCCGAGTTGCAAGTAAGAAAATAAATTATAACCGATCAAGTGCGACACGGTAGTTTTCATCTTTATTCCGTCCGCGCATCCGCGACTTGTTTACGTCTACTGTCGATCGTAATATTACAGAGTTCAAAAGTTTAACGTTTGCGATTCGAATCCCGATGGATCCCGCGGGCAGTTACTCGTCCCGTCGCGTCCGTGCACCGGTGGAACGTAGTCTAAGGCAGTTTCGATCAACCGAATACGATCGCGGGCAGTGCTCATTCGTGTGCGACAGTTGGCGTGTCCGTTGACCGCGTTGCCGGTAATCGAATTACAATGATTGTTGCGATTGACAAGTCTAGCGGTTATCGAGTTCGCGTGAGTGTACGCCGCCGATCGATTTAAAATTTAAATACACTTCCTATACAAGTCCGTTACGTTCGTCGTTGGAAATAAAAAAAAAAAAAAAAAAATGTTGTCTAGTCGGAAAAATAGCAGAATCGAATACTAGTTTGACTATAAATGTTCGAGTGATTCTAAACGAACAGACGTAACAGATTAACGTTTCGGAATGTAAATTGTTTATAACGTTATATTTTTCGATTTAATTTTCAGAGTCAACGCAAACTGGTTCGTATGCAACTCATCATTAAGTTTTAGTGCACAATAGCTTTTACAGTTGTTGACTGCTGGTAATTTAACACCGACGTTCCTATGCATTATAATAGGGAAGGTTACACGGTCAATAGTGGATTTTTTTTTTTTTTGAATTTCAACGAATTTCGTAGATAAAAAGTGATTTTTTATTAAAAATTATCTAGTTTTTTACTGAATTTTACATGCACACACGCTTATATTGGAACGTATTTAATCCGTTTGACGATGTTATAGGTTATACGACGCACTTATTGTCATATTTTTCGTTTCTAAAAAAAACACTTTTGATAATTCGCTTATTACTACGTTAATTTATTTTATTTTTTCCTCACGAGTATATTATACACACACGTTTATACATTTGTACGAATATTTTGAGTTACCCAGGTATCCGGTCAGGTTTGATTTGAATGTCTCACGCTGTTTTATGATTGAATTTGAAACTTTTTTTTTATTCCAAAACCGATTTATAAACACTTAAATGTTTTGAAGTCAACCTGTTAACACGTAATAACACGTAAAAATATGTTCGAAACCTAAAAATACTTAAGTTATACCTATGTTACAACCGTTCGGACACGGATATATGTCATGGTTCCACTTTATTATTCATATGTGTTCATTCGTTATAATAGTCGTGCCAGGTAAATTGGTCTCGCTACGTGCTGCTGTAGACTATAAAATTATTCTAAAAAATACAAGAAACAGGAATGTAATAAATAATAATTATAATTTTTTTATTTTTATTCATTTTTATTGCGACTCACACGACAAACTCTTACATTAATGTGGATCTTCTACTGGAATTCTGTGCACTTTTCATTATCAAAACCAATAATTAAATTTTTTCTGCCACATTCGGACGAAGAGTTATCATACACCGATTAATGTATATTGATTGTACACTACGAGAAGGTAATTAATGCAAGTACATGGCAGTTATATAGTATACACATATTGGAAATCTAATACACTACAAGAAAAAAAAATTAAAAAATACCATTTCGGTCTATTTTTATAAAAGATAATTCGCAACAAATCTTGTGTATTTCAAAATTTTATTAAATCCTTTTATTGATGAGTTATACGTATATTTTTATTATTTTCTACAGAATGCACACGTCTGAGTACAATTTAGAAGTTTGATTGATTGTTAGTGCAAGTCACAAATTACTTTTAACCAAAATCAATCGATTGTAAACTTTTTTTATTTATTTATTTTTTTTTTTCGATAAATAAATCTAAAACATTGATGTTTTATGCATTTTTAAAGTTTTGAAACAATAAATGGACCCCGTAGTTACATTACTATGAATTTCAATAAATCTCGGTACGAATTGATTTAACATAATCAATGTTTGTTCCAATTGAAAGATTTTTTCTACATTTCAAATAACTGCCGTAGCACAACACATAGCGCATTGATGGTTATCGCTGTTGCCGGATGTAGTAAGTCCATTCGGCGAACAATAGGCACAATCGTGGTGGACGCACATAATCGTAGTTTTTTTTTTTTTTTTGAAATACAACCCGTGGTATTGTGTTGTAAAAAATATTCCCTCGGATAAAACAATAGGATTATTTTGTTTGTTTTTTCGTTATTACCTATTTATACCGCATTGACGAGCCTAAAACAATAATTGAAAGCATCATTTTGTATTTATTTTCAAAATTATAATATAATTATAGAAGTAATGTTTTTATTTCTCTATCTCTCGGAAAACCAGTACAAAATAATACATACATAAAAAATATGTTTTTTGTAAAAAATTTGTTTTTGCGAACATTCGAATTCATCTGTTTATTCATTATATAACGATAAACATATTGCAAGTATAGGTAATTAATTTTACTTCGACAATTATGTATTCCAATTGTTGAAGCATTATAACGATAACGAATCAATGGAAATTATTTACCTACTTGATTATAAAAATACGTAAAACGTAGTAAACACATTAATGTTGTGCGGCATGAGGAAATGTTTGAATATAAGAGTAAAACGGCTGTAATGGTCTCAAATGAGTCAAATGAGACAAAATTAAATATTCTCACATACTGAACAATTTGGAATATTGAATATATTTGAAAAACTAAACCTTAAAATGTATAATTTCGAAAAGAGTCGATCTTATTACGTTCGACCTGCAAATCGACCCTGAAATAAATTTTGGCAATACTTATCGTGAAAGTTTTAAGATTTGCACTCTAACATTCGATCTGAATAATAACACAAACAATATTATAGTCGTATTAAAAGTCTGAAAAATCTTCGGTCTTCCGTTGCTTTTTACGGTGTACATTATAATGACGCGGTGATACGTGACCACTGACGTGTGTTGAAAACCGGGAACGAAGAATGGAAACGTTTCACGACTACGCTCAAGTGATGTTTACGAAAACCAACGGAAACGAACACGCTTTGAACCCGATTGTCGCGGACGCAACATTAAAAGTTGTAAAACTTTCGTGCGCGATGAGACCAAGACTTGCGATAAACTAACGCGTGCCCGTGCGATGTTCGTCAGTCGAAAAAATCGCGTCCACCGTGTGCCGTCGATCGCCCGTGTGTTTGTTCACGCGTATAACGGTGATCGTGCGTACCTGGTAACACGCAGTGCTCGATTTGGAAAAATTAAAGAAGGGGGTCTCTATTTATTTTAAATAAAGAGCGTCCGCAAAACTTGTTAAGCGTTATTATTGTAACATATTACCAGTAGGGGGACGGTAAAATTTATGAAAACCAATTGGGGTACTCCGTGCTCCTGCGTTCAACCCCGCAAGGCAAGCACTAGTAACTCGTACGGATCTTTAAATATTACGCGGCGTACGTTATGTCAAGCCGATAAATTTTAAAACTTTACGTCCATAAACAATATCGCTGAATACGGAGCTCGAGGCGCACCGTCCGTACACGTGACGTAAGTCCGTAGGACGACTGTGTACACCATAGGTTCTTAACCGGGAGTCCGTAGATGGTTAATCGGGTGTCCACGGGATGGCTGTGACGTTTGATCCCATTCGCTACTACCTATCTCTGCGAGTCTGGATTTTCTACAACGGTCACAATGAAAACTAAAACAAGAAATCGATTGGACGTCAAAGACGATATGCGCGTTGCTGTGTCCAATACGGTCTCAGATTTCAAGGCAATATTGCAATGAAAACAACAGCAAATGTCACATTAAAACTTGTTTTTAAATAAAAGAAAAGTGATTATACACAACAATTCAATGCAGTATTAAGTCTTAGATTTACCGTTAAAAAGTAACTAAAATAAAATTTATATTTATTTACTCGTATTTATATACGTGTATTTTTTCAGGGGCGGGTCTATATTTGATGCTTTAAAGGGGTCCACGGCCCGGAAAAGGTTATGAGTCTATGGTGTACACGTTTGTCGTGCATTATGCGCGCGCGCAGTTAACGGTCGCGGAAAAATGCTAAACAAAACGATATATGCAAAACACGCGGTGCCGTCGTGAAACAAATTTGTATCCGATCCGGCGCGCGTACTACAATCCGACCACCCAGACGGTATGTGACGCGTTGTACGTTGTAAATATATTTATCCGACGACGACCAAACCGCGTGTTGGAATAATACGTAATGCGTACCATATAAATGCCCGACGACCATTGTCTCGCCGGACGGATATTATAAATGTTTTATCGGTTTCGCGTTTACCTCCCCCCTTCCCCCTCGCCGCCGTTTGTGCACTTTCTACGCGGTCACCGTTCGTGTTATTATTCACTTATTATTACGTTGGCCGCTCGTGTTCGTGGACGCGTTTAAAAACCCCAGGGCCGTAGCAAAGAGTGGGGTGGGCTAGATGTGCCTACGCCCCGGGCCCAATTCCGGGGAGGGCTCGTAAATGAAAAATTTGCAATTCAACTGTTACTTATAAGTTATAACTTAATACTTATGAGTAAAAGTAATATTATGCGTTTACTTATATAACTTATAAATATAATTATGTTATACCTGTGTACCTACTTATAGGTAATTATAATGTGTATTTATATTTTAATAAATTATTGATTTAAGTAAAATTAAAAAAAAAACAAACGCTTATATATTTATAAAGAAAAATTATTACAGTAAAACCTGTCTTATGCGGAATTGCACGAGACCAATAAAAATTTCCGTTTTAGGCAGGTTTCCTTATAACTGAATATAACGGAAAATTCCGTACTATACAGTTACGATATACTGCACGATTAAAGTTGTAACATTTTCCGGTCAATAATAAAAATAAAAATATTAAAAATTAATAAATATCATAGGCTACAATAAATTTTAATTTTTAGTAAATAATTATAATAACAAGTATATTAATTAAATATTTCAAAATAATGATAAATTAAAATTTTAAAAACATTTAGTAGGTACTAATAAAATAATATAATATAATAAAATAAAATAAAAGTAGGTCGGTTATAATACAATTATAAATTCCAAAACTCGTGTAATGTTTTTTGTCTGGTTTTTTCTGTAGCAATTCTGTATTCTGTAGATAATTCAGATAGTACTGATATTTTATCGACATTAGCAATAAGTGATTGCATCAGAAGTCGGCGATAATACAACTTAACACAGTAAATAATACCTTGATCCATAGGCTGTGTAATCGAAGTTGTATTGGGAGGGAACCAAGCTAATTTTATGTTTGATAAATCGAGTTTTGGATGACATGCGGCATTTTCCAAAAAAATAATGATATGTTTATTTTTTTTTTTAACATTTTACTGTTAAATTTTATTAACCAATCTTCCATAATACTTCCAGTCATCCAAGCCTTTTTATTAGAGTACCACGAAACTGGCAATTTTTCTACATCAATATTTTTGAAACATCGAGGCTTTGCTGCTTTTCCTATTACTAATGGTTTTTCCATTTCACCGGCCATGTTTCCACAAAGAAGAAATGTTATTCTTTCTTTTGAAAGTTTACCACCTTTACATTGTTCCCCTTTTAATTTCAATGTTTTTGAAGGAATAGCGCGAAAAAATAAGCCTGTTTCATGGCAGTTATAGATACAATCACTATTATAATCTTTTATCAGCTCACCTATTTTTGATTTCCATTCATTTACTTCATCAACATTGACATCATTAGATTCTTCACATACTTGATTCCATGAAATATTATGTCTTTTTTCTAAAACATTCCATCCAACTGTTGGAACCTTTAAAATCGGTGTTCCCCAATTTAATCGCGATGTCCTTGGATTTTTCCTAAACCATTGGACCACTAATTGGAATGTTCTTAGATCTAGCTTTAACAAACCATTTCCAAACTGCTTTGTTAATTTCATCATTAACAGTCTTCTTTAAACTTCGTTTGCTTTTTCCATTTCCTAATTAATGAATATGACTTAAATGAGATGTAATTAATAATTTAATTATTTCATATGAACTTACCTTTTAACCATTCTTCTCTAATTTTAATTTTGTTTTTAATTATGTTATAAATTTGCGTTTTCCCGCATTTAAAAGTATCCATTAATGATTTAACACTATTTCCTTTTCACTTTCTTCGATTACTTTTATTTTTTCATTTAAACTTAAACAAATTTTAGACATTGTGAGAACAAGTAGGTACGACGATACGAAACGACAGGTGAACTTCGACTACGCCACTACGGTGATAATAATAAGCGCTAATTTATAGAATCAAGATAAAATTTAGTTATCTATCAATACGTATTAATTGCTGACCTTAATAATTGTTTAGTAGCAAAATAAATGTGGGCATCAAAAATATTTTTGTTCATTTTATGATGTGTTTTTCCGTTTGTTAAAGGTTTATATGATTTACGGGACCAAAAAATAGCTTTCCGTTTTATCAAGGGTTTAATCCTATGTTAAACTATAGAAATCTGCCGGGACCATAAAAAATTTC